AGGAAGCTGATGCTCATCTTCTCCAGGTAGGCGACGAGGGGCCGCGCGGTGCCGTGCTGTGCAGGGCGGTGCTGCGACGCGTGCTCTCAGCTGGAAGTTCCGGGGTCGAGCTGAGGACCGCGCAGCCCTGAGCAGTGCCCGGGTCAGGACAGGCTCCGAGTCCGGGGCTGCCCTGTGTCCCCGGGACCTTACAGCCGAGGGAGCGGTGCCCGTCAGCACCCTGTGGGGCTGGTGTGCGCGGTGGCCTTAAGCCGGTGCCTGCTGGGGTGCAAGGCAGTGGGACGAGGCCTGGCAGGAGGCAGCGGCCGTGAGGTGTGGGGTGTCTTCAGGTCACGGTGGGCTCCCGGAGCCGAGGGGCGCAGGGCACGCTTGGTGGCTTGCTCCACTCGGTGCGTCTGGTTGACATGGTGGAAAGAACACAAGGTGGACGGGCGGGGGTGATGGCAGGGCCCTGCGGGGGGGGGTGTGCGGATTGGTCTGGGGGGGCCACGCAGAGGATGAGGACCTCGGAAGCTCTGTGGAGCCTGCTTGGCATTTCAGGGCTACCGCGGGTGACAGTGCCAAGCCTGGGCTTGTCAGCATCGAATTGGTTTGCTCACCTGGTACACATTGGGGTCGAAGTATGCAGGCCATGTGTTGGGGCTGGGCAGGGTCCTCAGGTTTTGGGGGGCTTGTTGCTCAGGGGGGCTGTGGCTCAGAGGGGCTCCCCACGCAGCACGGGCCAGGTGGGTTCCAGGCTCTTGGGGTGTTGCGATGTGGCCTACAGGGTCACGTGTTGGGACCCAGGACTCGCGGCTTTTGGCTCTGGGAAGGAGATGGAGGGGAGGTCGTCTGCTGTGAGCACACGCACAGGGCACATGGGCTGGGGCTTTGGTGCCGCCCGAGAGAGGCGAGGGCCTGGTGGCCATGGCAGGAGCTCAGGACGAGGACCTTGACGGCTGGACGCCAGTCCCCGTGCGTGTTGGCCTCCACCCCGTCGTCTGTGCTTTGGGCCCGGTGAGGGAGAAGTCCCGGTGCCTTGTGGGCGGCCTGCGGAGCGAGACCAGGAGCAGGGGCCGGGCAGGGGTGAGCAGGTGGAGGCAGCGTGAGGTGGGCGCGGGCCAGGAGGGAGGGGCTGGGCGGGTGGCCCGGACGTGGGCAGCCAGGCCTTGCTGATGAGGCGATGGTATGGGGGACACTGCGGGTGGGGTGGGCGTGCTGCCTGTGAGGCGCCTGCAGGCAGAGGGGGCTGAGACAGCAGGACCTGGTCATCAGGGCTGCGCGGGGGCACCGGGCAGGTGTGTGGCGGCCTTGGCATAGGGCAAGGCGACCGTAGAGGAGGCCGC